GGGATACAGAGAAAATCAATTACGTTTATATGTGGGATGGCTCAGCCTCTGCAGCTCCAGTTTCCAGCAAAACAATTATTGCCTTCAGCTTTTCACTCTTTCTCGTAAAAGCGTAGTTGTATCAACCCTTTGAACCCGAAGCTCACGTAGTTAAGGACTAAAAACTTAGTTCGCGCCCCAAAGAAAATAATGCGTCTCCATGACAACGATCAGTTGGTTAATTTAGTGTAAGGAAATAAAATCACCCGGAACCCAAGCATCGCTTAAATGCAGTGGTTCGATTTCAGGAACTGCATCCTGCCCGGACAACGTCGCCTTCTGATCGCTGGTTCTAACCTAACGGGCAGCGATCGGATCTATTTTGTAATCGGCTTGATTGGGGTTGCTTTGAGACCCTTAACGGCCTAATGCTACGAGATGTCGACTGAGTTCCTAATAGGCGACGACGGCGTTACGCTGGTAGGGGGCTATGGCGCAGAGAAAGTCCACTTCTTGGAGGCGTTGACAATTTTTTTTATATTCGTTTAGTCTACTGATGTGTGAACTTTGTCTTGCCGTTGTTTGAGGACTGGCTAAATGCGTTACTGCTTCTTGCTTCAGTGGGACACTAATGGGGACGAATGGGTCCCTCAGTCCCCCTGCACTGACAACGTTTTGACTTCTGACCCGTCCAAACTCCCAAACGCCGTTAGCTCAGCTCTTGTGTGTCTGAGTCGAGGTCATGTTTTAAAAAAAAAATCATTTTCCAGTCGACTTGCCCCTTGTTTGGGTGTGAGATTTGAGATTTAGTGTTTCGGTTTTCAGTGAGAACATATTTCTTATCTCAAAGTACATGTGCTCAAAGATACTACTATAAAAGCCACATTAAAGCCATTTTTATTTTAAAAATACCTTAGAATTCTAAAGCAAATGGCCATTGTGTTTAGACACTCTGGGCCTTTGTTTGACGATGTATTAAATGTTTCTCACTTGTTCAAGGTTGGCAACTACTGATTTTAGACGGTCGTATTACCAGATGTTTTGCGACTTGATTTCCAATTTTATTTCAAATTAAATAAATTTTTACATGAATGTGACTATCTTCTGGATTGTCGTCGTCGTCTGGTAGAAGTTTACCGATGTTTCGGAGGTGCTTCCTGCGTTCATCATCAGGGCGATTGCCCAACATACACGGCGCAACATCCCAGAAGGGAGTATTTTTCAAGGGCCGTCTCACTAAAACTGCTCACCAATTACATCGTCTATAGAAATGTATGCTTCAGGATAGGCAATAAAATTAAGTCCGATTAGAATCTTTAATAAGAAAAGTTGGGCGAAATATGACGTCTCGTGAAGAGGAGGACGTGGCAGCCGACTGCTCGACACTCACGAGTTCTCGAAGGAACTCCTAACTGCGCCTTTGTGCTCGGTTGAAATTGCATTTGTCTCACGAAAGGAGGGAGTTCCGGTCTCTCGAGAAAACTCCGAAGAGTGGTTTCCTTTCTAATCCTTTTTGCTTTACCCTGACAAGAAGCGAACTTGTTTGTTTGTGTTTGTGGTGAGACGTCTTATTTTTCTTAGCAAATTTTTGGAAGATATAAGAATTGAAGAGATAAAACCTATCACCATCTGCTCCTCCACTCCTGCTCTGAGAAGTTCGTTGTTTTTAATCTTAGAAGGCAACCCGAGGTGACGAATGACTTTATCCAGAATAAAATTGCTTTTTTTTTCCATGTCTCAAAAAAGAGTCGAGAGAGGCGATTCTCAGACTTTTTGCTGACAGTTTTCAAGGTTGACTCAAAACTGTACTCGTAAATCAAGAAGCTGATGGTGATAACACGGTCTATTCCGAGGTCGAAATTAATTACCTTTGCAAAACTAACTACGTGGGGCAGAGCCGTTAAGGAGATGACATTAACGCTCAGCTAATCAGGAAATTCCCAGTCCTTTACGGATCCACGAAGTTCATTACCGTGTACACAAAATCCCGCCGTATCAGGCTGATCCAGTCCACGCCATCTAACTCTGTTTTCATTAGATATGCTTTAATAGTACCCTTCCATCTACTTCTCGGTCTTCTCTGTGGTTTCTTCCCAACTCGTTTTTACGCATTTATCTTTTCCCACATGCGTGCTACGTCGCTTCGCTTCCTGGAAGTATTGGCTTCGAATCTCTGTTGGGAGACCGGCATCGTTGCTGTTCCTGCCTTAAACCCTCGAAGCGCAGTGTTCGCTGTCATCGCCTACGTTAACACTCAGTAACTGTGCATTTGAAATGGGCGGGGCACGTAGTGCTCATGGCGAGATAAAAAATGCGTACAAAATTTTGATTGGAGAACCTGAAAGGACGTGATGCATGAGAGGATAATATTAAAAATGATTGTAGGGAATCATCTGGCTCAGGATAGGGACCGGTGTCGGGTTCTTGTGAACTCGGTGATAAACCTTCAGGTTCCATAAGACGCAGGCAACGTATTGACTAGATGAGCGACTATCAGATTCTCAGGAAGGACTCGTAGTTAATCCTATACAAACATGGACCTGTCTTGGCTTCTTCTCACCTGTGTCTTTCAGTATTGTGTCCATCGGCCCGTGTGCCAGTCCGTCTTCGGCACAGTTGCCTACCATCAAGGAGCCTCGTGTCTCTGCTGAGTCGCAGACGAAGGGAAGCTACCGCCGGCTTATTTACACTCTTTGGTCCACTTTGCTTATAAATTTCCACTTCATTTGAGAGTCCTCGTTGCGAGTATACAACCCTGAGCTGACGGGTTGTGATGAATTGTCGTGGCATCTGTCTGGCGACTCCATTTCATTTAATAGCTGCACTGGACCGCTGGAGCAGTCTGTCATACGAGAGAGTAACTGATTTCGTATGAGTGTACTTAAGTTGTTAAGATGATTTTGTGCAGAAGCTGTTGTCTCGTGTCCACCAGTCGTTGGGCGGGCTTCGGTTTGTGTTGTGGTACCTGTGAGTGCTCTTCTGATAAGAGAAACAAGAAAGCCCCGTGAAATTCTGATGGCGAAACAAACTGTTCGGCAGTCGGAAACTAGGCAAACGAATAATTCGGTGTTCGTGGATTTTATTGTAGATTGTGACGAAGTTGCATCAGGGTCCGATAGTGCCTGCGGGGATCAGTCGAAGACGAATACCTAAATGTTTTATTTTATTTGTATCTGTGTCATCTGACGTCATGTCGAGCAAAATGTCCCAGGCAAAGTTTCACAGCAGACGACAATTGGTACAGTCTCTTCCCCCCTTGAAATTTGGTGATATTTTGTTTTAGGAAATTATGCGATTTAAGCATGTCATTTGTTACTTTTTTTTAATTGATAGCAAATTTTTTTTTTTTATTCATAAATTTGCATTTTGAGTAACTTCCTCTAACCTGCAGTGCGACCGTGACAAAGAAGTTTCCGAACTTGGAGGACGTTGAATTCGTGTTGCAGACAGGGGACAGTGAGGCTAGGGGCTCCGTAATGAAGATCCAAGAACAGAATTTATTAAAGTCTTGGGAACATAAATAAAATTCATGCTACCGTAAAAGACTGTCACTACCGTTCCCTCTGAGACAGTGGAAGCAGATCTTCGGTTGACGCGAGTATCCGTCACTGTGCGGATCCAGACCGCGAGCTTTCAAAACCTGCATGTGCTGGAATCTCTGACTAATGTTGGCGCTCGCGTGCCGAAAGTGCGCCATAAACAAAGCTCACACAGATTAATGTTTCGTAAGATCCTGAAGGGATTAGACCGTTCGGAATGCGTTTGTGTTGGTGCAAAGATAATATTAAAGTGAAAATTTCTGTCATTTGTGTTCTTGCGCTCTTTTGTATGGTAGACGATTTATCGACGTTTCAGACCTGCTTTAAGCTGTTAGTTTTGGCGGGTGAACGTGGCCCCACTGCCTTGCTTCGTTGCTTCTGCTTTGGACTTAATAAGAATTGGCCGTAACTGCGAATGTGATAAGATCTTCACACCGTCTAAACTCGTGTCTGCGACCGACGGCTTCCTGGTTCATCTCTGCTCACCATTTAAATGCAACGCACCCCGAGCACTTTATGCGTCGCGGCCCACTCGGTGAGAAACATTAGTCTGCCCAGCTCGCTGCGCCTGTGGGCGGTGGATGCTGGCCCGCGTCACACGGTGACGTATTACCCAATATGGAGGCAAGAAACTTAATTCGATCAGTCTCCCTTGATGACTGTAACGACGGCCACTCAGTGACCGCTTTGTGATCAAACCGCCGAGTGCAGTGGTTAGCATCCCAGTAGCAGGAGCTGCAGTGACGTCAGGTCAGTTGAGGTCAGAAAATGCTTCGGAGGCCTTCTTGCCTGCTGTCATGTATGAATAGATCTGCCTTTGGCACTTTCATCGTAGATTGTGGCCTTCTGGGTCATGGCGCCGTAGGAATTTGCGAACATTACGAAGGGACGTAACGCCATCATGTTCAGGGTAGCGCACACAGCATGTTATCTCGCTCTTCCATTTATAAACTGTGTAGTATAGAACATTTGGTGGGCTGAAGAGCTATATTTTACTTTTATATTTCTATTTATTTATTTCCTATGTCAATTCCATACTTATTTTCATGATAATAATTAAACATTAATTCCACAGAAAATTAACGTCTGACTACAAACAAACAACTCATCATGAAAATAGAAAATCTACAAACAAACCACAGATCAATATAATACATTGCATAAAAATATCTAATAATTTTAAAATATTATAAAATTGATATAAACCTGAAGATGAGGTCTTATCCATCGAAACATGTCGTAAAAAAGCGCTAAATAATGTAAAATCGTATTTACGATAAAAAGCGCCAAAATATAATATTTTATACTACATAATGTTTTAATATTATATAATTTTAACAACATCATTTAATTACAACGTTTGTGTATAGACTGTGAAAATAAATATATATGAAGAGTACTCATATGTTTGAAATGTGTGCCGTAGCACGATAAAAATTTATCCGTGGGATGTGCATTAATTTTATTTTAAATTCTGGTTTCAGATTCTTCGATCCTCCTAGATCAACCCGCATCGTTCTGAAAGGTAATTAACATATCAACACTTTTCTCTTTATAACCTATGACAACTATACAAGCTTAATACGTAGTTTTTTAAGTCGTTTCTCTATGGAATGCATTTTTCGGTGCTTATTTGTTGCACAATGTTTTGGAACTACTTTTCCGTTCATAATATGGCTGATTCACAGGCCTACAGCCGTCTGATTTCATTGGTGCGTCTATAAATACTGGTCCTAATGTATCTAGCGTTGTCTGTCTAAGACGAATATCGATTCTGCTCTGACTTTCTCGAAGCTGTGAAAAAGTCGACATTCGGCTTCTCGGTTGTAAAGCCACGTGGACTCTTTTAGGTACGTATAAACGTTTTGGGGGAACATACTCTAATTTCAGCCCTGAAGCAGCGAGCATGAAGATCTGGTTTCCAGCCAGAAACATCAAACTTCATACCCTCAGATGCTGTCAAAGTGTCGTTTTGTCGTCCGTCCGAGTGGGACGCTCTGGGACAAAAAGGAATGTCAAATCTATTAGATTTAGCGACGATGTTGTTGTCCGAATTGATCTAGGAAGCTAGGCCTTCAAAAGGCCTGCTTGCAGAAATGCGGGTACAATTTCTCATTTCGAGAACACACAGTAGCTGCCCTGAATTCGGTTCCAAGCGTTCGTTTTTGAGCGGTTTCTGGTGGCTATTATGGGACAGTTTTTATTTTCTTTTAAATTTAGGATCACAACGCGTATTACGTGTTTTCTGACTATGAACCTCAGACTCTGAGGGAACGTTTCTCTTCTGTTTGACTGCAGAAACTTCTTAATTCCAGCATCGAGGTTCACCCGTAGGAGTCTTGATATTTAAAGTGGAAATCTTTGCCCGTTTCACGTGGTTTGCGTTGGAAATGTATTGTAATGAAGCTTGGCTTTGCCGGCGAGAGGCGATGGCAGTCTGCACATTGTGCTGAGAAGCGCATTTGGGCGTTCGTGTGAGAATTAGATTCGCGCTTGTGAGCCATTGGAATGGTAATGTCATTCTACGCTCCCAGTTTTTCAAGGGGCATTGCGATAGTCGGCGTGGTCGAGCCGGAGGACGTCGGCTTTCTGTTGTCGTCTAAGATTCGATTTACGTTATGCATTTTTCCGTGTCAGGATTTCTCGTGATACAATTGGCTTAGCTTAAAGCATGTGTGTACAACCTACCCTAACATGCATTGACAGCAGAGTGTGTTGATTGGATTCTTATGGTTCTGGGAATCAGCAATGATTATTTCCGTATTAACATTAACATTGATCGTTGTTATGAAAACACGTTGTGTTCTTTAGCACGAAACTACAAATTCTTATGTCCATCCGAAACTAGAAGTTGCATACATGTTACTGATTTTAATGGATTTTCGTGACATTTTATATTGGAAATATTTACTAAAATATGCCTATGCATTTCAGTTTTGGTTAGAATTCGATAATAATAATAATAATAATAATAATAAAGGGCAGACTGTATAAAGACCCATATGCGTTTCTACGCTTGAAAGCGAGAGTGGTTTGGGAGTCGGCTGGCTACCGTGGTTACATGGGGAATCCCCGCGCGGGGAATCCCCAGCCAGCCTTGCAACCGCATTGGGGACTCCTGTCACCCAGTCAGACGTCATAAAGGCCAAAAGGGCATACGTGCTGATAAATTCGTGTGAGTGCTTCCATCTTCAGGGCCTCGACAGCCTCGGAAATTTAATAATTGCGAAACTCAGTTTTAAGACGAGTGTCAGTTGAATTCGTCGGAAGGTTCGCGGAATGCAGTGGACTGCCTGTTCTCTCGGATGACCGCCTCAGGAATGTGTGTGGCTTGTTCACAGCAGAATGCTGTGCTCTGCAAGTTTGCGCCAAACGCGCATTTATTACGTCAACAAACATCCTGAGAGGAGTGAAAGTGGTTTAGTTTTCGTATTTTGGGTTTTCTGTTGGAATTTTATTTGATGTAGGAACACGTGGAGGAAAATAAATTTGATTTTCATCTGAGGGAAAGGACTTGAATCGAGTTGCATACAGCCCCAAGTATTTCGATAGCTTTGTGAAATTTCAACTACTACAATCGACAGAAGGGGGACCAATGCTTTCAACAAGGAGAAATTTAGATTCCAGGGGGGAAAGTGACTTTATGCTTGTGACAGTGCACAGCCTGTTTCTCAATGTCCTCACCGAGAAGGTTATCGTAGCGGTAGCGCTCGTGTTTTCCTGTTTAAGATACTGGGTTTGAGCCTCGGCACAGTTGGCCCGTAACCTGAAATTATTTTGGCTTTCTTCGGTTTGTCGAGTCGAGAGCGGGAACAGTGCTTTCGCATAGGCGACAATAGCCTCTCGCAAATCTTTGACTATTGCCCACTTGTGGTCATCTTTCCATGTCGCTTGAGGTTGAAACAGTGTCGTCGAATAACTTAAGAATCGATTAGCTTTTTGTTTATGGTTTTTCTTACTTACGTTCTTCGTGTATTTATCGACGCAGTGTCGAGAATTTAGGACTGATTCTATCAGAATTGGCGCAGGTGTTAATGAACGATGGTCTGGGGAAAATCAGTACGAATTGTATCTTTGCTTGGGTTAAGAATGGCGCAAGTCACTTTGTTACCGCGTCGCTAAAACCGTAACCAGTGCATTTATAAGTAGGTAAAGAGATAGGTTCAGGGAAGGCAAGGCGAAACAACCTTGGTAGTTTCGCAAGAAAACCCCGAAAGGGGGTCACGAAGGGTCAAACTGACCTTAGACGATAAAAAGGGGTTAGGTTACTTATGTTTACTGCCACTGACTCCTTCATAACAAACGTTTTGATGGGATTTCTCACCACAAAAAGTTTGACTGAGGTGAGAATATTTTCAGATTTCCTGATATTTTCTGTGTAAGATGGAACACATAAATCCTGTCTCTGCTGCCTTAAAAGTTATCAGTTTCGTGATGAATTGTGTTGTGAAAATTGCTGTAGACCTGCCACATGTTTCAGTTTATATAAAAACAGATCCATACAACGTGTGTGAAGGTAGGAGAGATTTAAGGGAAGAAATACAGGCTGTCATTTGCATCGGGTAGCTGCCAGCGGGCATCGAGCGCAGGACCGCGCAGTGGTAGGCCAGAGACTAAGACACTGAACAAAGCTCTTTTCTGGGATGGACGTTTCAGAGGTGCTTCCTGCTTCCATTATTAGGTTTCGGCATGAAATCTGAGGCAGTATGTACCTCTGAAACGTCGGTAATTTTCTGCCTGACTACACGGCGCAAAGTACCAGAAGACAGTAATTTTCATAGTCGTCGCAAATCACAGAAAATGGCGATGCGCAAGAAACCGTCTGTGGCGGAGTCCGTCGATTTATGGTCTCGTGGAACTGCGGAAGATAATGCACCTTGCACGCTAATGGACCCCTTGTTACGCCCTGAGGAGGGGGTGGGGGGGATGCAGTTCTTAAGTACCGGTAGCTCTCACTTTGAGCGTGCTTGAGGAGGTAACCGGTTCGAATATCGGCTACGCCAGTCCCTTGCTGCTTCCTCGTTGCGTCTGCTGTTGAGAGGAGTGCCTCAACTGTACCGTGAAACAGACAGCCATTAGCGTGGCAGAACAAAAGAAAGACCGTACTTCCGTCGATTTAAAAAAAAAGTAACGACGAATCTATTTAACTTTGCTACTAACAGCGTATAAACTGTGTAATTCTGTTCTGCATTGATCTGAGTCTATGGATAATAAATACAGTGTCGTACAGTGTAGCGCCGTGTAATCTAGTGGACTGTACCGACGTTTCAGAGGTTCCTGCTGTCTCAATTTTCTTGGCGATTACCTAGATTGCACAGCGTAGCATCATCTCGCTCACAAGACAGCCATATGATTTATGGAATCGCCATTTGGAACATCAGAGTTTTGCGTCTTGTTTTTGAACCACCGTGTAGATGCAGCCATTATCTGTATTTTCGAGAACGCGGGATTAAAACTAACAGTTTTGTCCGTCCAATTTTTCTTTACAACTTTTCATGTATAACAATTTTGTCTTACAAATATTTTATAAACACCCTGTAGATAGTATTGAAACGCGAAGAGCCTAGTTCGAGTTTTCGTTTTGAAACATACTTGCAACAAATAAACCTTTTTATTCTCTTTTACTCTTTCCGACTTGTCGCTCGGGATGGAGATGCACAGAGGAAGGGAGGGAAGGAACAGCACAAAGGAGTTCAATCGAATTGAAACTTGCATCGCGTTTCCGGTGTATCCGAAGTTTCTGTAAAATAGCTCGCGAGCTTTTGTATACGTGCAACATGTCTAAGACACTAATTCAGTCTGGCAGAGTTCTGCTGAAAAGCCTCGCGAACTTACTTGAAACCTACGTAATTTAAAATAGAATTATTTTAAATAAGTAATCTGTATTTATGAAACACGTATATTTACGTTAAACAATTTGAACGATGCTGTTTTTATTAATTTGCACTTTCGTTTACCTCAAATGCAGGTATAACTGGCATTTTTTGTAACATTTCATACCATGTAATTCCTTATGCAAGGTCATTTCACATACAGAAACTTTGAAGATATCCGTCTTCTGGGTTATTGCGCTGTGTAGTCTGGTCGATGTTAACCACCGTTTCAGAACGTTGGTTAACATCGACCAGACTACACAGCGCAACAACCCAGAAGACAGAAATCTTCATACTCACCGCTGTGAAAACCTCAAGTCTTACATAGAAACTTTCATTGCCATGCCAAATGGACCCAAGGTTTTCAGCCCCCATGAGGTCATCATCCGTGTCTTCCTGAATGTTGTTAAGTTAGGTTAAAAATTGAATTTTAGAGTGTTTCGAATTTAAAATTTTGAAAATTTAAATGAAACCTTTTTTGCGTTCTTCCGAAACGTCGGTGTTTACTCACAAGTCCACAGATCGACTTCTTCACCGACGTGAGAACATCAAAGAAACATTTTCCAACCCGGAATGAAGTGACCAGATATGTAACAGTGGTCATTAAATTAACGTAAAGTAGATCCTGTAAGAAAGTTTTTGAATGGACACA